TCCATCCTGATCTTGTTTTGCCGTTCTCCCATCCCTACGTTTTAACAGAAACCTTTTAAACACTTTTCCCCAGACATTAAGAAAAAGGATTTTCAAAGACTTTTCCTCTCTAGTTCAATTTAAGAATTGTCAAGTTCTCCTCCCTTCCCAATTTCTGTTGGTTTTTATCATTCCTCTTGGAAACTTAGGCTGAGCTTTGTTATCTGTTGCCACCCGCCTTTATTGAACAAGGAGGCGGAGACGGTTCTGTTGACAGCGTTGTCCCCGCACAGGAAATTGCTGCGATATTCTCTCACTTACGAATACAGCTCCATGGAGAAAATTGGATAAGGCCTAAGCACAACCAATTCAAGCTTATTTGGTTTTCTCCTGATTTTTCTGACTTAATACAGGAATTTTCAGTGCCAGTTTTCACTAGATGAAACACTAAGACCATCAATGCCGTCTTAAGAAAACTATGTTACATGCCACTACTTTCTAATCTCGACTCTTGCCTTTTTGATTCTGCTTAACATCGCTGCCTTCCAGCAAAAGCCCATGAGATACTGAGAAACTCTCTCAGCTGTGGCTCTTATCTTCAGCATTTAAGTAGAAACTGAACAACTTACTGTCAAGAAGTCCCAAAAATACTAATGGGTCAGTATCAGCATCATTAAAGAATTTTAGGTCACTAGTTAGGTCAATGGGTACAACATTTTTTCTCTGAACTCATTAACGAATTCTCTTTCTAGGTTCATATTAACATCAAAGTTGTGCTGAATTCTTCTTGGAAAGTAATAAATAATTATTTTTTTAAAAACCCAACAAAACAAGCCCTTACTCTTTGCCAAGCTGTTTTTATTTCACTGCTCACCAGCAATTAAATTTTTGGTTGAGCTTTTAGAATACAATTTTGGGCAGCTAGCGATACCCAAATCAAAGCCATTTCCCATTCAAGAATCCGTGATCGTCCTCATTTTCTGTCTCTAGGGTCAACTGCTGCAAAATATTGTCTCTTAGATTATTTAGTCAGACACCGAACACATCAACATTCTGGACCAGGTTTCCTTGATGTATAATATATGCCTCTATCTGGCTGCAAAGTCTCTAAATTGGCAGACTGTTTGCATTTTAATGAAAGTAAATGATAAATAATTTGCAATATAGTACTGATCATTTTTACACCGCAATAAAACAATTCATTTAGTCATTTTCCAGAGATTATTCCCTCTGAATCAAATATACGTATATATATAGACACATTTTTCCTGTGGGGTAACTTACTATCTCTACAATCATACAACTAAATTTTTGGAGAGGTACTTCAGGAACTGATCCAAGTTAGGCAATTTTAGACACCGTTAACCAATATGATTAATTTACAGAGACCACCTTTATTGTGAGGCACACCATGCTCCAATTAAAAGTCTAATTAGAGCTTGCTTATACTTTAACTAAGCTTCTAGACTGTTTTCTAGACTTAGTTACAGCTAGAACAAGTACATCTATTATCATAAAGTAAGTCCAAATAATTTCAGTTTTAAGAATCACATCAGGAATTGAAAAAAAAAATAACCTCATTTTTATAATTAAGTACTACCCCAAAAGTCCCACGATAATATTTACCAAAAGCTTCTCTCAGGTTGTAGAACCACTAGTTGAATGTGAGCAGACAGATCTAGAACGAAAACGTCTGCAGGACTGAACGAGCTTCACACAGCAGTTGTACAAATTTTGGAATGTCTGACTGAAACGAAAACAACTTGTGCATCCCTGTGGGCTCAATCACATGTATGGTTTTTTTGTTGCTCATATGAGTCCAAAATGATTCACATAATATAATACAGTGAAAGGGGTAATCATCACTCGTAATGCTACAAGATGTTCTCCATCTAGACAACCCAGATGTCCAAAACCCTCCTTATTTATAGACGAAAGTCCTGGCCTTTGCAAATGAATCTTAAAAGAGCTACTGAATAATCTGCTCTGATAATCAAACATCACAATTAATTAACATAAGACTCATGTTCAAAGACAGATGAAGAAAGAATCGCTATACTTTGGCAATTCCTCTACCTCTTCTTCGTTGCCAAGAAGGTCAAACACCAGTTCCGGAATTATGGCTGCGTTACAGACTTTGTTGTTGACAGAAGCTTCAATATGCAAAACCTGGCAAATCCAGATTATAAACTTCAGCTGCTACTTGAACTATTCACAGTTGTTTGAGGAAGGTATTCTCCAAGGGATTTAAAGGAGTTAAAATCATATTTATTGGGAACTTTTTCAAATTCATTCAGTTCACTTTTTTTGTTCCAAACTCTCAGGCTTGTCTTTCAAACATGCAAGTCAGAAGCGTCTCATATTTCATTCTGTACCAGCCAATTATAGATCAGATGTTTATCTGTACTTTTTTTTTAAACCACTTGTAAGCCAAAGTGACAAAAGCATCCTAAGAGCCAAGAGGAAAGTGACATGAACTAGGAAGGAGAAAAATGAGACTTCACTGACATGAATGTCAGCATTGCTGAACGCATTTCCTATTTGTGAGAAGTTCATGATCCACACTGATGTAAGCCTACCTGCCTCCTAGACAAAACCAAGATGTGCAAAGCTCGCTGGCATCAGCTGAGAAGCAAGGAAAAGTCTTGTATTATTGTCTGTGGGGTAGCATCAATACAGAAAGGAAGTGGTTTTCTTTCATCGCTTATTTTTATGCTTTTAAAAAATCAGAAAGCGCAGACAATGTCCTGCTCTAATTCAACCTGTACAAATTTTATGTTTGTTTGCTAGTAATGGTTGGGAATACTACTACTCAAACCCAACATTATGTTAGTACTACCACAGAAAATGTGACCAATATGTACCAGGATAATCACTTCTGCTACTAAAACCAGCCCTGAGCATTGTGTCAGTCCAAAAGGCAAAATGAAAGCAATTACACAACCAGCATTCAATCCCAGTGCAACAGATGACATGTTTGTATTAAATAAAGACACACAGAGATTTTAAAAGTTTGGTTTTATTATTGTAGTGTGACAGCATTATTATCTAAATAAACTTTTCAATCACTTTTACAGTCTATTTTCATCAGAAAGGTTTCAATATGGAATGTCACACAGTATTCTGCAACCTTCACACTTAAAAGTAGACAGAAACATTCAGTATTTAAAGGCCTTTGCAATGTGTTTCTTTTAAAAACATGAAATTTATAAAGTGTATATTAAAGCAGATTTTTTTTCCAGAGACCCATTGACAAACAATTCTATGTGATCAAAGAACAAGTTTGCATCTGCTTACATTAACTCTGCGGTAACCCTGTCCATGAGTACTGCTACCAAAAACAAGAGTAGGAATTGAGGAGTGCTGTAGTAGTGAACGGGAGCCAGAATTTAGCCCACTGTTAATGACAGTTAATTTTGCTCAACTCTGTTGCTCACCAGTTAATACTTAAGGCAAATTTAATTGTATGCTTATTTTTCCAAGCTAAAGTAACTATATAAGCATTGTTTGTAATACATTGAACAGAAAGTATTTTATGGTGTATGTAAGACGTGGCAAGAAGAAATAAGGTACATTGCAGTTAAGCCACTTTTCTATTTAGAGCAATGAAACTCACATTTTCAATTTGTATAAAAACCATCATTATTGAAAAGCCTAGTCTTTCAAATTTTATCAGAAATGTAACTGTAGATCTGAACTAAAAGGTTTATGGAGTTAAAGAGATGTCCCAAAGCTGGTGCTCCTCTAGGAAGGAGTATAGAATAGGTATCCACAAATTTTTGAACACACAGAGAATTCAATGGACTATTACTTTAAGTAGACAAGCCATGAATTACATTCAAATGATGGACCTTGTACATGACGTGATTCTCTTCACCACTGCGCACTAAACTTCAGTAGCTCCAACAACTTGGTAAAAAAGAATAATTTTATTTTTTAGCCAAGACTAATTTTCACATGCCACAGTCTTCAATTTGCAAGGTCAATTTAACATCAGCATCCACTCCTCAGCTGTAAAATTTCTCAATCAGTAATAAATAGAAAAGATATATCTGACATAAGAAACAATAATGAAAACAAGTAGTTAAATACTGAAATACTGGCACAAAAATGAGCAAAGATGTCACTGGTGACATCCTTGAGTATCTGGACCATAAGATGTGTTAGCATAAGAAGTATCTAATTAAAAAGCCAGCATTTTGGCTTTGCACAATGCCTTTTTTACCTATTGAAATTACACATTCAAATAACAAACAAAACAATAACTGTGGAGACAGCGTTAGCAGTCTCCTGAACATTCTGCAGGAGCCTACCTTGCTGCTTTTGAGGTAGGATCTTCTCCCATCCTTTGATCCCATGAACCAGTCAACACAAGGCAAAACTTAGTCTCTAAGGTGTGCAGGGAGTGCACACTTAAGAATAACACAGACTATAACAATACCTTAACTGAAAAAAAGGACCTTCCGTGGATTTTTGGAATGTTAGGAGACTTCCCTAAGTAAAGCTGTTAAAAGATTCCATTCCAGACAGTTATGAAAATGACAATACAGTAAACTGATTTAAAATAACAGTAATTTTAAACAGAAAAACTGGATTGAGAAAACACAGTGTTCCAGGAAAGAACCGTGTGTTATGTGATCTATATTTATTCTTTAAATATATTTCTATTTTTATTGTACAGATCAAATCATTTAAGCATATAAATACAACAGTAGTGAAGAACTATAAAGATTTGATTTTTAGAAGTAAATGGAGTAGACTTTTACACAGGTAAAAACCCTTTCAGCACATTTTTATATTTGATTTCTGCTATAGTTGAGAAAGTTGGAAATATTCTTATGTAATTTTATCATAGGCTTCTTTCCCCTCTTGTGAAAATGAAGACAATTTTAACATAAACAGAAAACAGTTCTTAATCTTGCCTCCGCACACATTTAACAACATTTGCTCAAATCACACATATCAGCTATTACAGTGATTCAAGAAAAAAATGTATTTTCACACAGTGGAATCTCAGTGGAACTAAACTGAAAATTCTTACTCTTGTGTCATTTCCTCTTCAGGCTGTTTGAGCTCAATCAGTAACTCTTTACCAGTTTCTCCTGCCTTTGAGGCAAAAAGAATTGCTCCCTGTTTAAAGCCCAGGAGCTTCAAGCTTCTGGCATAATCTGCATATACAGCATGGATCAATTTATGTAAATGAAGCATTAAGGAAAACACAAATGAATAGCAAAATGAAAAAAACCTCAGAGTCATTTTTTTCTTTCTCCTCGCTCGTTAGGTGTCCCAAGATGAAAATGCTGAACACTGCTGCCAGTTGTCCTAATCCAACATTTTTCGGCACAAATGAAGACAAAAAAGTTGCTTTAAATACAACTATTGAATGTGTATTAGCATTTATCCGGCAGCATGCAGAGTGCTATAAACTAAACCAGATACAGTTCAGATATGCAGAAGTACCTACCATAATGCCATGCCATAATTTGCAAAAGAAATGAAGAAATTGTAAGGTCATACTACAAGATTTGTTCATTAATTAAATCTGGTGTTATCTACGTGACTTATTAGTGGCTTTTTTACTTACAAGTTGACATGAGTCATGATTGCATAAAATTTAATATGCATTTACATATGCATTATTATTTATTGCATATAATACAAAAGTTAGACAACCTCTAGAGTTTCCAGAACACCATGTTAGATGTGCAGACTGTACCGAGCAATACTTTAGATACCTTTTAAAATACTACATTTTCAGCGCATCTGATCTTGACCTTTAATTTTCTTTGTTTTCACTGTCTCAAAACTGACTCCTTCATAAAGGGCTTCAATCAGTACAACAGTATGCTGGTCTACAGCGGGGTTCAACATAGGATTATTTTTTTTTCTTGAGATACAGTGTTTAAAAGACAACTGAACCACTGATTTCACTACACAGTCTGCAGTAATAATTTCCAAGTTCTGCAAAGAATATTTTATCTTCTGTTCTTTTCTCTCCTATGTTTATTTTTTTCACTTTTAGTTTGTTTTTTAGTGCCACTGGTCTCACAGAGCATCAGGAGGATGTAATGTTATGGATTTAGGCAAATGACTCCTTTTCACTAGTTTCCTCATAGTTCCTTCAAACTACATGACCTGGAAAATATAAATAGAAATTCCTATTCCTGTGCAGGCTAGTTCATCTAACATTGGTTCAGGCATACTCACTGTGTATGAGTGCGCAGATGCAAAACCAGGATTTCAGAAAAAGGATATTTGTATCATCATTAACTTCAAATGCCCCGTACTTCAGACAAGCTTCAACAAATAAAGCTGCTCTATCGAAGTACCTCATACTGTTAAATGGAGAAGAAAAAAAACACACAAAGAAATCATTTGTTAGGGCAGGAAAACAGAGAAGTATTCAAGGACATTGCATCAAAACACTTGCACACAGGCTTTCCAAAATTTTGCACCTAGGTCTGGAGTTGCAAATCTCTTCTGCCCTGAGGGCTGAACAAGGCTTCCAATTATCCCCAAGGTTAATCAATATCACCATTTAGCTGCCACCATGGCACATATTCACAGTCCCACATAACACACTGCTCTCCATTTCCAACGTTGCTCCACTTTGCTCTCTACACCTTCACACTTCGTAGGCCTCCAAAATTCACTACATCATGATAGTGCTGAGTGCTCTCCTCATGGAAAGCATGCAGGAACAGGTCACACTGTTTCACGTACTGCCTCGTGCTCCCCTCACACTCAGTAGTCTGGCACTGCCCTCTCCCCAACCTTCTTACATCCCCTCTTCCTCCCTGCATGCAAGGAACTGAGATCTGATGCAAAATTTTTGAAAGATCAAGATTCAACTTACTCAGAAATAATCATAGCTACTATAAATTGTTACTGCTTGGTTAATGGGTGCTAGCAATCTTAAAGCCTGCAGTAAATTAAATTGCAACAAAAAGATCAATTCAAGCTCACAGAAATGAGGTACGACTGAGGTTAAAGTTAATTAAAGAAAAACACGTTAAAATAGAAACAAATGTCAGAAGTCAAACTGCAGACCCCCTCCTTTCCTCCTCCTTGACTTCTGAGTCACAAATGCTTAAATAACATTTTTGGACAAGACAAAATAGAGATTGTGCTGTTTCGTCTTTACCTGTGCAACATCTCTGCAACTTTTGTAAAGCATCCAAGTGACAAGAGGACAAGAATGGCTTTGGACTTCTGGTTAACTTGTGGAGAGCAAAGGTGATCTACCCAACGCTTTAACACATCAGCACACTCCTCTGAGTTCAAACGAACCTTTAAGATACAGGAAAGATAGTTACGAATTCTCAACTGCTAACTAAAGAGACCATTCTGCTTCTGTTTCATTTTTTTTCAGTGAAATACTTTGGGCAGAAGTAAAAGCATCTGAAAGTACCAGTTTTATGACAAAAAGTACACTTATCCCTTGAATGAATACAATGTAAAGGAAAATTAGAAATATATAGGTATAAAAATAGTCCACTTGGGTCACTCCACATTTACACGTGATTAACATTGTTTTTACCACAAAGCTTTTCTAAAACCTCAAGTATCAAGAAGTTAGAAATCTTTATCCTTTTCTAAAGACTTAAGGACAAAACATCTTTACTTTTCTTAAGAGCAGGATTCACTCATTTAGAAAATCTGGGTATGACTTTTTCCATACTTTCTGCTGAAGAAGAATCTGTCAACACTGAACGAATGGACTGGCTTGTTACAGCTTAACACATGGAAAGAACTGATCATGATACTTCAAACTGATGTTTTAGATTTTTAACTTTGGAGAACTTCAGCACCCTCTTCAGCCTTCATTCCTACATATACTAAGTAGTTCATTTATGTGAGCAAACTGAAAATTGAGAAATTACATACCTTTGCAAGCCACGCTGCACGATTCCACTCGCCATAAGTTTGCAAGTAGCGACAGGCATCAGCAGCCTTATCGATCAGACACAGTAACTGTACACCCTCTGGAAAATAAAAAGCACACTATATAATAAGTTAAGGGAAAAAAAGAGTTGCTATACACGAGTGAGCAGAAAAAGGATCCCTCCAATATCCTTCTTAGCACATGAACATGTTGAAAAACAGTTCACTGGACTTCTCATCATAAAGAGATAATGATCTTTTTACGTTAAATAAACAGATTTCACAAATAATCCTTTATTTTAATGTTGTCCATAGTATAATTATTAAGAGTGAATTGCTAATTGCCCACAGAGTGGAAAGTGTTTTTTCCAGGCAAGTACAGACATCTGTACTTTCTCTGCATCTCTTTGAATATTTCAGTCAATCATCATATTGTGAACATCTCTTGCATTAGGCAAAATTAACCTGTACACATAAGAAAATACACTTTTTGAAACAAGTTCCGAACTGGAAAGGAAACTAAGTCTGTCTTTCAAATTCAGTAATAAGAAATAATTTTTTAATTAATTCTTTAATTAGGAGTGGAAAATATGTAGCTTAATGTGCTCAACCTCTTTTAGAGCAAACAGTCACCAAGAGAATTATTCCAGAAATACATTATCCAATGAAAATAGATCAAAACAAGTTGAGCTTTATAACTCAGTAACTGTTCATTTTTGTGTTAATGACTGTAGTCTACTATAACATATACAGCATATAAGATCTATTACAACTTTCTGCTCCTCCATCTCCATCAGCAGCCTTCATAAGATCAGAATCACTAGTTTATAAGCAAACATAAAATTAAAGTCACAGTTTACCTGCGAGCTTCCCATTGGCTATCATGTTGGTGGCTACCAGTTTAATGGTACTTTGAGACGGTCCTGATGAGGTGACAGTTGTGACCAAGCAAGCTTTGAGTGAATCGCAGTAATAATGTGCATTCTCTGAACTCGTTTCTAACAATAACTGTACTGCTCTGTCAGTCTGGCAAGAGAAAAAAAAAACAAATACAAAAAACCAACTTTGATCACAACATACTCACTTTTAAACAAAAGTCCTTATATTTTTACCCTTTTTAAGACATGGAACAAATAACAATGGAAGTTATTCTAAAACAGACTACAAAAATATCTACCAGCATAGTAATAATTAAGATACTATTTCAATAAAGCATCCTAGTAAGGACAGCACTTAAACACCTATCATGAATATAATGTTTAATCACAAACTAACATTTCTAGAAGAGGCCAAAGAAAAATTTAATTCAGAATATTGATTTCCTTGTTTACATAATCTTTTGCAGAGTTATAAAAAGAAGAGAAGCATTTAAAATAAACAGAGAAGAAATAAAATTCTGAAGATGCAGAAACTGGCCAGAATCTCAAGGACTGATTCAATACTTGATATTTTAAAACAAAGGTAGAATTCATCCATGTAAAATGTTAGTTACAGCTTAGCACCTAACCAGTGGGGCTCACTGCAGACACCTGTCTCTGAATCAACGGAATCACTGTAGGCATGGCATCTCTGCTTGTTACTAAAATGAGGTGCCTAACTTTGAGAGAGGTCAATTTGGTGAGGTCAGTCAAGCTGATGGCTCAGATAATTACAGAAATAATGAAAAGCCACATTAAATACATATTAAAATACAGTGATTCAATAAACTGGCATTTTTTAACTCCTATAAACTGGCATTTTAAACAGACTATCTACAGACTAAATATTTCTGGCATCTTGTACTGGTAACATTTGTTGACATGCTCAAATGCACAGTGGCACAGAAATCATTTAAGTTCGAGCTAGTAATACCAAAGCTATTTTTGGAAATGGATGCAGCACAACTGCATTAGGGGGGAACAGCTCATGATATATACTGCACAAATGCAACAATATTCTTATCAGGGTCTCTCAGTGAGCAGCTCTGTACAGTATCCCACTGCTTAGTATAGATCTGCCAAAAGCTTAGGTACATCCTTTGTTACTTAAAATGAGAGTACTAAGTGCAGACAGAGTTATCCCAAAGATGTCAAGTTTTAGTTATTTCTGGGAAACTCAAGATGTGATTTTATTTTTCTAGTCACAAGATGGAAAGAAAGATTTTTATAGGGTTCCCATGAAAATGAAATAGTGTGAAGCAGGTAACACCAAATATTACCATATACCATGTCATTACACAGAGTCTGCAGTGTGATAACACATTAAGGCAGCAAAAACTACGCACCGGGTAAATAAAAGTATGAAACAACACATATGAGTTAGACAAAACTTTATTTGAATAGGATAAGTACATAAAATGGACAGGGAAGAAGAATAAAAAATTCAAATATTACCCACAAACCTGGCCCAAGAGAAGAAGTTGATCAGCACATTTCCTGGTATGATCATACGTCGATCTCTTCACTTCCTGGAGATTTACCCTTTCAAGTTGGAATTTCTGCACAAAGAAGGAAAAATATTCAAAATGTGATACTACCATAGGAAATAAAAACAAGCATTTAAAACATATGGAAGTATTTTCAGCGTTTTTGGAACACCTCTTATTTTTAAACAATAGGGAGTGATTTAATCCAGAGTGGTTATGTTACTAATAAAAGTGAAATATGTATAGTCAAAACCTAAAGATAATAAGAAGATTACAATGCTGAGCTTTTAATTGTGCTGATGACAGTCTTATTAAATATATTTTTGAACTCCTTGAAATACCTGGAAGTAATAATTTTCACACAGTATGTCATAGCATATATCCAAGGGATTGACCAATTGTTCTTGAAGGACAGCTGTGTCTGCTGGTTTTGCAGGCTTGTCCTGGGATAAGCTGTGCAAATAGTGGGCAGCAATAGTCCAGAAATGCAGTTCAGATTCATCCCCATACAGTCTGAGAAGATAAAAATCAGGGTATGAAATATGTTTGCATTTTTTCATATGCCACATAAAAATATTATATATTTAAAATATCTTTTTACAAAGGCTGTGCATTCGTGTGGGCACCAGAAGTACTTTGCATTATCAGTGGGACAAGTTGTAAGAAAAGATTAAGGAATGACATTCAGCAAGCTAGGTAGGTAAGAGGTTGGCCAGAAGACTCTTAGAAAGCAATTAAACTCAGTGAATCTTCAGCATATAAATATGTGAAAACTGATATTTTATTATTATTTTACACTCAATTACTAATATCCTCTTTCAACTACAAGAAAGTTTGAAAAACAAAATAAAATTAACTAAAGTTTAGGGAGAAGAACAAGACAGAACAAATACATTTCAAATAAAAAACAGGCCTTCTCCTGTTTGCATGTAATCTTGTGTGTTGTGAATTTCTGACTCACATTTTTGGGCTCTGTACAGCTAAATGTAATGTAGTAAGCAGAACTGCATTTATGAAAGCATCACCAAGGCTGAAGGAAGTTCTCTACATCCAGCAAGCAAATAAAAGTGTTTCAGTAATGTAACATTTCCATTCTTAGTCCTGAAAACACTCTAATCCATTGGTAACAAAGTACTTTAGGAATTGCACTGAGTTAAAGGAGAGTTAATTGAGTACTTAAACTTCAGCACATTCATATGCATTAATAGGATCAAGATTTTATTAGGAAACATTTAATATAATTATCTGAATCTCTACTACCTGGCAACTAGGAGACATCTTTGCAAGACAGTAAAATCTGGATCAAGCAAAAGTTTCTTTATGTCACTGCAAAAAGAGAAAGCCATAAATAATCTGGAAAATACTGCACAAGTTTTTTTATTTGGTTTTGAACACGAATAGGATATCTCACCTAATAATTGAAAAAAAGCAAAACCAAAAATACACAATTTCTTTTCTGAAATGAAAAAAATGTATCTATCAAAACAATTACAACAGGAAGTATACATAATTTGAAATACAATTGATCTCAAGGAGCAAGTCACTCTCCCAGTTTAAATAGAAAGTGAGTCTGTCAAGAACACCTTGTGCTTGTAATAAGGAGAACAACCACAAGGGTGTATACAAAGCTATAAATTAGTCTGCAGTGATTCTACAAATTACAAGATTAATTCAATTACGAGTAATTTTGCAACTCTGTAGCGCTACAGTGTAAGAGATCCACATGCATGAATTTAGGTTTTCTACATATGTTTCAGACTGTAAAGCATGTAAAATATGCTAAGTTATCTTTTCCATCTTACTAAATGGAAGGACAAAAGGAAAATGAAAAAAACTTCTGTTTACAGCTTTAAATATTATTTTCATAGTTGAAATAGAATGTCAAAATCTGTTCTCTGTATAAGCAGAGTAATGTGCATGAACATTACTCTGGAAGTATACCTTCTATACAATATTTTTAGAATTTGTTTTTTCTTCCTCAGAGCTTAAGTATCTTAAACCTCAGAGCATTTAAGTAGCAGTGCCAATACAGTCTGGACCAAGATCAAAGAACCATACATCACCAAGAAGTACTGCCTAAAAAATTATGAATGCTCAGTGGTCAGTTACAAATTATATACTAACCCTAATCGGTATCTTTAAAACTCTTGTTGTCAGCCACTACTATGATAAGTCAATGTTAAAAACTTAATACTGACTTCCATCACATTTTATATATCAGAATAGTACATTTTGACTGCTGAGTTAATATTTAACAAAACTACTTTGAGATAGTTTGCTTATTTAAAAAAAACATTTTTACGACTGTATTATGGTTTATTTTTTATTAGAAAAAAATAGAAATAAAAATTTAAAATCTTCAATAAAATTAATAAAGCATCATCGTTAAGAGTTACATAAAAATAAAAATTATCTGTGTTTAAAATAAAAGCTGTCATTACTCAAGCTTATCTTTAGAGAGGTAAAAAGCATTCTTTCTTCATTCAGTTGTGAATTGCCATAAATTTCAGGGGTTTTTGCCTCCTTTGAGTTCTCTAGCTTACTCAAATATTAAAAGGAAAATTCTTACTTGGACAATGAATTCAACTGCTCTTGAAGAAGGTTTTTAATATTTTCATTCTCTGGATAATCACTGGATTAAAAACAGAAAAAAAAAAGGGGGGGGGGGGTTTATGTATTACCACCAAAATGACAGAATTATCTGAAATGGAAAAGTATTACTGGTAGTAGAAAAACACAAGAAGATATACGGAAACAATCTTTCATGTTCCTATGGTAAGTAATTCATGAAGATTCTTTGTCTAGTTACTGTTTCCAAAATGGAAATGAAAGACTGGTTTTGCTTTCTCTTAACCTCAGAATCAGTGCCACCAGTCTTTCTTTTCCACTTTTCTTTTATTCATTAACCTTGAAGTTCATGAAAATGACAATGCCTTGCCCATTATTACGTGACCACAAACACAATAAAGGATACAGAAAGGTGCTCCTACTATGGTGTGAAGCATGGCTCACTAAAAATGAAGACAGGCCAACTATGAGTTGGACTATCATTTTCAACTACACTTTAGGAACCAGCTCTGACTATTCTGATATTAACTTCTTGAACAAAGAGAACACACAGTAGCTCTCTGAAGTAATATAACCTTGTAAATGACACAAAAATATTGCCAATATCTTAAAGTAGACAGTAGTTTTCAATAGCCAAGGACTACTGAAAGTCAAAAGAAATAAAATACTTGACTTTAAAGCCTTTTCTAATTATTATTATAGTGATAAATAGTGAAGCTATTATCTTTTCGACTGTCCCAAAGAGTGAGGAAACTTATACATCTAACAGTTATATGCACAGAAAGACTAACAGAACATGTAGGATTTAATAATAACAATAATATCTTATATATAGACATATATTTCTTCTTACATGTTGATAATATCTAGAGAATATTTCTCATTCCATGGCTGATGCAACAAGAATGCTTTTAAAGCTAATGAAGCCCTTGGAACAAGCAGATAGGGACACCATGCAGGTTCTGAAACAAAAGGAAAAGACTCATTTTTGAGTGGCTAATGTGCAATAACACTGTGTTCAGCAACCGTAAAATATACCACCTTGTTTGCAAGCACCAGAAGAAAATCATAAATCACAGTCTTTTCATATACACAGCATGGTTACTAGACATAAAAGTTTACCTTTACACTCAAGCAAAAAACATTTCATAGAAGGTACATGGTTATCAACCATGCTCAAATGAGAATTTCGGGACATTCCATATTGAATTTAGCCATAGACTCCTGGAATACCTTACGCTGGCATTAAGCAGAGTTGTACATGATGATTATTGCTACTACAAGGACACGCTGGAAAATAAGTACAGCTATACCAAAATGTACCATAATGTATGTTTTAGTTTTACTTTGCAATCGTAGTTTCTACAGTATAATACAAGGATTAATACCCATCATCCCAAAAGGGTGTTGTGAAGGTTAATACATGTCTATATTAGCAAAGGAATAAGATGAAAACTGTATTACTATCTGTTGTCATATAAATTTAAAAGTCATTAAGTCTATATCCAGTACAAGGTTTGGATGATATGTAGTAAATGGCACCCAGTGACTTCAGAGTAAAACAAGTACCAGTCAGCTACATTATTAAAGATTCAGCAATTCCCTGTACTTCACATGCACTGAATGATGTAGAAATCTTGTAAATGGGATTTTGTAATTGAAAGATTATTACAGTGTAGAGGCAGAAGGACAGCTAAATCACAGGCAACCTTAACCCAGGCGCATCCTAATTTCACTGTGCTTGGCTTTAGAACGGTAATTTTTATAGCTTAATATTACAGAACATTCCTTTGATAGTAAAAATAGCTGTGATAAATTATGCGTTTCCTCAAACATCCCACACCACAAGTCTCCACATCACAATTTTGGTTATTACATGTGTCTTAAAACACATGGATTCTGACTAAGAAAATTATATGAGTAAATACAGACCAAAAAGACCAAAACAAAAGCAGTTATTTGGAACACCAGTAATAAAAAACCCAAAAAATGTAGCTTAGTTAACTACATAAATAGTTAAATATTTAAATTCCCTTCTTAAGTATATGGCACTACTATTGCTATTTTAGAGTTCAGTGGGACAATCTACTTTGAAAAGCAGTGAAGCAGTCTACACACTGCCTTTGCTATCTGGAAATATCAGAAAAGGTTTTCACGCATTAACAAATGTTTCAAAATGATGCAATGAATAGCAGTGATGTAGGTACTGATACCTAATTGATGTACTAATGCTTTTTAGCTCAACTTGCTAGACATCGTACAAAAAGCTCTTATTTTGTTAATTTATTTTCCAATTAAGATATGAAAAATTACAGCTTATTTAGGAGATTAAACTTGTACGAAAAAAAACATCCATATGCCCCAAGCCTAAAAAAAATTTATCTGCATGTATGAAAACCACTATAGGGATACCTAATCCTCTATGTACGACTATTCTCTGTTCTAACAGAGGTGCTGAAGATTTTTATGGTCTGCTTTCAAAATGGAATATCTAGCAGCCCATAGCAAAAAAAGAAATCAACGTACCTATCAAGTCCTGTTCATCCATTCTAAAACATGATGGTTTCATGGACAAGTCTAGAACTCTAATGCACCCATCATCCGATGCCAAGACCACTTTGTCTGACGTGCACCAGTCTACATCCAGGATTCGGAAATTAACGTTTCTTCCACTTCTTAAACTGCTCACCATTTGTACCTTGAAAAGTTGAGTTATTTTTCATTTTTAGTAGGCTCTCCATCACACAGTGTAAGACACTGTCACGTGCCCAAGAGGCATACCACAAAATTTGCAATAAAAGGCGAAGTTAGTCATAAATCATTTTAATGATGATCTCTTCTGGAGAGTACAGAATTTAGAAACCTTGGAGTAGAGCATGTGGTTGCCCCAAAACAATACTTTTTCCCAATCGCGAGCTGAGAAAACATCCTTTTGAGCACAGCTGTACAGCTGCCTTTTAGTTACCTTTTCTGACATAAAATTTCCATGGTGAATTGGTGGAAATTTACATTTCCTCTAATTCCAGTCCCTGATCTAGCATACGTGCATCAAGGCACAAGTAAGGTTCTCATTAACTCATGCTCTTCTTAAATATATACTTTCTTGATAAATACTGAATTTTTATTGAAATACATTTAGATATACTATTAACATAACATTACAGGAATAGGATGATTTATTGTCCACAAACAATAACTGTCCACAGATAAACAAATCCTTCTAAACTGCACTTTTAACCACAGGTCAGTATTTAAATATTTTGTAACCTTTCTGTAGCATCACAGAACACTGCAACTGTTAATATAAGGAAATATTAACAAAGCCTCCGCTGCAATCAACATTCTGCTGTTCCCTTTCACTTGTTCTAGAGCAAAGCATGGAGTTAAACAGACGTAAGGTACAACAGCTCTACAGCATGGTTACTCTGAGCACTGAGAGAATTAGGAAAAAACGTGGAAATATGAGATAACTGGTTGCAGGCAAAGGTGAAGTTCTAAGGAGAGATTATATGGATAACAGGACTGAGACTATAAAATATTTCTACAGATATTCTGAAAGATTTTCGGCTGAAAATGTGAATTAATTTTAAATGCCTTCATGTAGGAAGCTCCTTCCCTTTTCCCAGAAAACAAGAGGGAAGAGCTATAGGAGGAATATCCCATAGCATCAAAACTACTCAAAAGTTCTTCAAGGGATAATACTCTACTCTGCCTACATAATTCACAGTTGGTCATATCTGCTGTCTAACTCCTATCATCAACAGAGAGTTTCATATTGCTCAAATTAAGTGTCTCATTTCAGATCTGGTGCTCACTACAAAGCAAACAGAAAAAAAATTAAAATTTCTCTTTCATAACCTCGTAAGATGAACTTACTCCATGGGGCTATGTTAAAACAGTACAATTATCTTTCCTTCCCCATGGTACTATAATCCCTTGAAAGATCTATAAGCAAACCCCAGAAGATTTCTGAACATTACTACAGAATTTTTTAATAAGATGAGAAGCTAGACAACATTAATTAACAAGTGTCTAGCTTTCTGGTATTCCCTAACAAAATAAATCCATGCACTGAAAAATACATACTCTTGAATATGCACAGAAGTTAAGAAACCTGTAGTAAAAAATACTCTTTTGTCCATAGATTAAATTCTAAGATGGAGGTCTCCCTCTTAAATTTTCAATGTCTGCCTCAGAAACATTAGAGTATCTCAGAGACATTGTCAGCTTTATGAGTGAAAGGTACTTTTCATTGATGACAGCTTAAAAAATGCTTTATAGGAACTAAAAGTCTTCTGAGAAAAGCCATACAAATTTATTATACAACTGTCAGCAAGAAATCATGACTAAGTAAAACTTAATGCCTGACTCGTCCTCATTTTCAGAAGTAATACGTGCATTTTGCAAAGAAGCACATATCAAAACAACAGACACTTACCTCCTTTGAATCCCAAATTTCTGCTCCATCGTTGTACATTGCAAGAAGTTTTTGATTTCCTTTCCCTGGGGCAAACCTTATCTTTTTCACCCAGCTTCGGTGTGTAGGAATACCCCTAAGAAAAGCTCAAGATTAGTATCAATCATTCTATACCTAATATTGTGGGTAGTTAAATCCTTTCCATGAATGTTGCAGATCATATTGTACAGACTGAGATATACACACACATGTGTATATACACACACAAATGGCTATCCAAATTATCATGAAAATGAAAAAGATTAGATACTTGAATTAAATACTACAATATTTAACATTTTGTCAGAAGGCATTGCAGATTTAACATAAGAAAGATATCTAGCTGTTTTAAAAACTTTGATAAAATGTTACTCCATCTGAAAACACAAAAGATGAAATGTAGAGAACTGTAACACAGTAGGCATTTTCTGAAATTTTATTTCAAAATACTTGCATTTTTGGCCTCAAACAGCACAGATGACCTGCTGCAGTGAAGAACAAAAATGCAGGGGGAAAAAAACATTCTAATACTATCTCATGTTTATCAGACTTAATTTGCATTCATACCTGGATACTCTAGCTTTCAAATCCCAGAAGTTTAAGTTTCCATCAATGTCTCCAAGAACCAGGATATCCCCTTTCCAGGCAATACATGTAATGCTACCCATACTTCCCTGGAAATATATAAGAAACAGAATAAAACCTTGTGATTAATAGAGCCAACATTAGTATTTCATTTTCTTAAATATTATATGACATGATAGGTCAAATTCTGCTCAGTTAAAACACAATTCTGTGGAATATAAGCACTTATCAAGTCATATTTGCTTCAATAGACTTCAAAAGACATTTCATTGTAAGAAATTTTGTATTTAAAGCAATGGAAATCCCTTCTCTGTCCCTTGATGCAAGGAAACACCAACATGACAGACCTCATTAAACACAATGCTAGCATAAACTAAAGGAGGAAACAAAAACAAAAGAATTGCTATTCATAAAAAAAAAAAAAAAGATTGTTCTTCAGAGTAACTGGGGAAAAAACAAACTTAAAATTCACAAAGAGTGCTCTGGTACACTCAAGTCCTCCTTATGATGCAATGCAAAATCCATTAACAGCGTATAAACATGTTTCAATAACACTCTTTGTTATTCAAGCTTTTTGCATATGCTTTTCTAAAATTCTTAAAAATATGTCATGTAATTTATTCAGAAAGCAAGTCAGGGCCTATGAAGATTCTAGCTTGTAAAAAAATCATTTACTTCAGCATTGTTTTCAGTAGAAAAACAACATGAAAAGAGAATTGCTACCATTTTTGAAGTTGGAACTTTTATTTCATTTTTCAAACTATTGCATTAATGACCACGTGCCAGTACCACGCATATCCCTGATTTTTTTCTGGCAATCATAGCTAGGAAAAAAATTAAAGCATCAATGATACAGAAAACTGGAACTCACATCAGGAGGAATTCTTGCACTGTCTTTTACTGAGTTTCCTTCTACTGTGAGATGATAAACCTGCCCATCGGCACCTGTAAACACAAAGTGCTCTCTGGCAGAAATGTTCTGACTCAGCTCCGATTTACTTTCAGCTTCCTGTAGCAAGCTTGAAAGAGAACACAATGAGACACAAGTATTTCTTTCTTTAAATTAGAATTGCAAGGTGATTTCTCCCTAACTATTGCACAGAAGCAGCACAAAAATGCATGTTTCCTTCAAAACAATTTACCAGAAGCAACGGTTAATGCTTTACACGCTTACATTTATACACTTACAGGAATGTTCAGGGGGCAAATAAGAGTTTTAATTCAAGAACCAGGTAACGAATGGACTGCTCACACCTGAGAGAAATAGGTACACTGTTTCCCTCATTTACAGTAAACTTTGACATCTAAAAGCTAAAGGGAGGCTCACAAAGTTGTTTGCCTGGTGTGTACTCAAGAATCAGTTCCAAAATAATTCTGTTCTGTAAAACAACGGCACATGGTGGGAAAACAACTGATGCAGAATAGCATTAAATCAGAATCAGAAATACCTGATGACAGAAGATTCAACGCTGCTAACTTCAGTATCTGATGCAACTGTCTGTCGGGCCATGGCCTCACGGGCTGCTAACTGCTTCTTCCTCAGGCTTTTTAAGTTATGAGAGGGTGACCACTCCTGGGAAAAATCGTCCAGGAAAAATAGAAAAGACAAATATTTAGTCCCTGAATTTACTGGGGATTTTTCTGTCAATTATGATGATTTCAATGAAGATACCTCCCCCCATCACCCAAAGAGCAGACCAAATTTTTCCACTAGTACCTGCTTTGTTCTTGCCTCTATTTGATGAAAGATGAAAACAGAAGAGTGAAAGCACTTATCTTTATGTTACAGAAACAGTAACATTTTGCTGCAAAACTGTTCATAGATTTTTATACTATCTCAACATATTACATTTAATAAGCAGTATGTAACAGATTTTATTCCTTACCAAAGCAGTTGCTGTAGGGAAGTTTTTAGACATTTCTCGGAGCAGAGTGCATGTCCTGACATCCCAGATCTCCAGTGGTTTGTCTTTAAATACTATAGCTAGATACTGCCTGAAACAAATTAGAATTTACTAAATGAAAAGTAATCATTCCATTCTAATTTGAGCATTTTACTTCATACTTGTTGTTCATATCAGCACTCTGGAAACCCTCAAAAACTAAGAGGAAGCAGAGTAAATTAATTTGGCTCAAATCACACTCTGGAGCTTGTGATTTCCTTGAGTTACTGAGGTGCAAAAGAGTGTCTGAAAGAGAGTCCTCCTTCAAAGCTAAAAGAATGAGAAATTTCTGTCAGGTGGTACTGCTCAATTACTGTAAAGGAAACAAAGGAAGTAATTCAGAGAAAGCAGCAGCACCTCTAACTTCAACATATTCAGCCCAAGCTGATGACTGCACAAGATATCAGAAAGACAAGATGGTAGGTTGGACAGATTTTTTTCTCTACACATGCCACTTCCCTAATCCAATGATGAATGAACATCAAATCCTCTAACACCTGTCAGTCATGTCTTCAGACCTTTCATCTGTGGAGCTAGATGAGTAGAACACCTTCAATCTACCACTTTTCACATGTAACTTGAAAATACAGAGAGGCTCTGTATCTATATGTACTCTTCTCAACTGTACTAATCTCTATTCAAATGAGCTATCCTTTCTTGTTATCTCTTAACATTCTAGTCTCTTCATCTAAGCCCATGGCTGTTCTTAATTTTTAATGTATTAAGATGACCATTATATGGTTGAACTCCTCCAAATTCTCTGGAACACAAACACACTTCTGAAAATATTCCTTTGCAAGCTAGAGAACATCCATTTTTTTCCTCCTCTGTAAAGAAAAAACACTTTAAAATTTAGACATAATGCTTTATTAAATCCAACACTATTTTAATTTCATTTACAGAGGAACGTAAAGTAATCTCACAGAGTACTACTGTTATTCTTTTTGATACTATAAAAACCAGGGCCTCCTGTCACATGCCTGATCTCAAAATAAGCAGGATTTGATGGTAAACAATACAGTCACTTAATCAGTTGATTTCTCAAACAACTATACCTCACATCTAGTTTTCCAGTAGACAATTTTATAAAGATGTGAAATACATACTTAGGAAAATTAATAAACACACGAAAAATCATCCCACCTTTAATGCCAATCTTCTAGTTTTAAGTAATGCTTAACTTCTAGAAAAGGGAATTAACTAATAACATAATCAAAGTTGACAAAAATTGTTCAGCACTCTTATTCTCCTTAGTATTATCAAAATGTCCATCCAGTGAACACAATTCTTAAAAGAACTAAAATATTAACAAGTGATCTTGCAATGTGATTGGGTCCTGAAGTGACAAAGTCAACCACAGAAACATTTGCAGCATTTGCACTTTGAACTAATACTCTGAAGTATTTTTCTCTTGATGCTACTGCACATTTTTCTGTACTCTCTGGAGTCTTTTTTCCTGGAATTTCTATTATAGCTATTAAGTCATTAGGATCTTCATGCAGTACAGTAAAATTTATAAACTTCACAGGGCTAATTACTTACTTCAAATGAGACACCTTTATCATTTCAATTGCTGGCTCATCATTGCCTCGCTCCCCACGAAATGCGATGCTCCTGCCTGGAGCACAAAAACCACACCGAGGAAAACAGAAATAGTTACCAAACTAAATACAAATACAGAAATAGTTTAAACACTATTCTGTTTGTAAAGAGAAATCATTTACAAACTAAACTAGAACATCTCCAAGTAACCTGCCATATCTTACATTACCCTTGTCATTGTCAAAGTCTCACTGTGTTTCAAAGGACTAAATATAATGTAAATTCTACTAATACAAGACCTGACTCACTCCCAGAGCACAACTACTGAAACTGATTTGCCATGAGCACTACATAAATATTGAGAAAGAGTTCAAAGAGTTATTCTTTTCCACTCAAAGCCAGTGAGATCTACTCTCAATTCCCCAAGGAGGAAATTCATGGGTGGATTTCAAGTTTTGTAAGAGAAATTAACTCTTACAAAATAAATAAACTAAGTCTGAAAGTATTTCCATGGCGAAGTGCTAACTCATTCTACACTTAGCAGAACCGTTCTCTTTCTTCCCAGCTAAAAGAATAAGCCCTAAAAACTTATAATCTTATTCCAACAAAATATTCACTCACCTGTACAAAGTTGCAGAATTACAGGTGTTATACATATCACTAAAATAACGATCTACACACAGCAGGGTATCACAGCATCTCCTATGCAAGTGTCACTCTCCTTAGCTTGCAAGGAAAATTCAAGTTTCCAAACTTTTGCCACTCTTATGACTGCTCGTAGCTAAATTACTTAGGCCAATTATGTGAATAAATCTAGTTATCAACAATGCTACTTAGAGCTCTCATGTCAGAGGCCAAGCTACAGGAAACCTTCCAGCTCTATTTTCTTCATTAGTGATCAAACATCCTAGGAATTTTCTTCCTTTTTGTTGCTCAGAAGTGTAAATGAGAATTTATCAAAGGGTTCATGAAGTAAATACAATAAAAGTATCCGATTTCATTTCCATTTTACATTCATACACACACTCAAATTCTGGCCACGCATCTGGCCTACCTTGAAAAGTTATCTGTTGCTGACACAAACCACAATAAATGGCTCAACACTATTTCAGGCACACGTGAAACGATGGGCGTAGACTGACAAAACACATTTAGAAATAGATGCATTTTGTGGACATAGAAAACATTACGTGGTTTCACAAGGGCAGAAGAGCAGAACTAGTTAAAATTCCTCTTTATAATATCATGATAACAGAAGAAAGAATAAAAAGTAGTAAACTGCCGTTTGTCACCTCCCAACAAATCTGTCAGCCTCTTGTACAAATTTCTCAGGAAATACTAACCTGTTGGTAGGTCTACCAGCTGCAGCTCATTCCTTACTAGCCCCAGATTGTTAGGAGTTGATGTGGCAAAGGAAATAAACCCAGTCAAGCTTATCCACTCGATTCCCCTGTTATCAGAAGAGCGTACATGGAGCATATTAGCCAAAATATTTGAATGGCTAGAAAATAGCCTGGACTAGCATGACTCTGATTAAATCAGTGGTTTACCAGATGGGAAGAACTATCAAGTAACTCAAATTTGCCAGCATACAGAAAGAGAAAAATATTCCTAGGGACAGCAGAGTGCCAAATAATTGAGTGTTTTATCTGTGAAATAAATCAAGGAACTGATCTAAAAGAAAATTAAGACTGCTCTAATACATACATAGGCCCAAGTTCATTTCAACATGGGTAAAAGGATTTAGGTTTTCCTCAAATTCTTCAAAAACAGATTACTTAAGAACTATTTCCAGGACAACTAGGTCTTCTGTTACATCTATTGTAAAATCCTGGTCTCTTTTGCAAGAATATATGTGAAATACGAGAAAGATAAAGAACAGTATTTATGATTTACTGTCAGTAAATCCAACTCACATTGTGTTATGTAGAAGCTTCCTAAATGCAATGTGGATGGGCAAAAGCAAAGAGTATTCCTATAGTATTTTGCACATACAGGTTACACCCATACCTTTATTTTTTTTAGTTCAAGCTTTAAAATAAAATGGGAAGGTTTTTTTCCTAAATCCTCAAGTTAAAAATTTAGGACCCAATCCTTTTCCCACCAGGACCTATGAAAGTTCAACCAATAATGTCAATCAAAATGAGAAGCCTTCAATTATTAATTGAAACATTACAGGAATGATTGAACAGAAATCTCCAATTGCAACAATGTGTGACACTGCAAGTCTCTGAAGGGTCGCAAATACAGGGAGCTTTCTGAAATGGAAGAAATACGAATTCTGACACCATTCTAATTTTTATCTATTATTCTACTATGTTTTTGGAAAAAGCATAGAATACTCATAATGCAGTGGTGAATAACCGCTGGCAACAACATTCTCGTTCAAAGACCTGAGGCATTTTCCATACTTCTTTCATCAGCTCAGATTTAACAGGACAAGTCCTTTATCTTTGCTGCCGGCTGCCATCTGTCAATACCAACAAAATCTTACAGAAATCCAAGACACTCATAATCCAAAGGAAAGCTTAGTTTAGCTAAAAGCTTGCACCTGAAAATGTATTTTTTTTTTATTGTCATACATGTAAATTGACAATCTGAAGACAGTGTTTCAAATTTTAATGAAGGAAACAAGTAATGTTTTCCCTACTGAAATATCTCCATTTGCAAAATTTTCTACTAAAAAGAAATCTTTGTCTACTAGAATTAAGGGTTACGTTCAGCTGTAAACTATTTCTCAGACTGGATCCACTCTTTTAAAATATGAAATTCAGGTTTCTATACATTCAACTTGCCTCAGTTACTTCAGGGGTAAGATTCAATTGTTTTGATTAATATTTCCAATGCACAAAATTACAGAGTGCACTGAAGTGGATAAAAATACAAATTACTTTTCTAGTTGGGAATGGATTGTTGTGACATTATGACAAGGCAGCTGCTACTCAAATTAATTATAAGAATTACAAGAAAAAGAGAAAGGAAAAATTGGAAATGAAACCATATCATAAAGGAAACTGTATTAAAATCTCAATCATATTATGAGAAAATACTCTCAGCCTCAGATTTTATTATTCAAAAAGAATTTTCCTGGTACTTCAAAAGTATTTCTATTGTCTACATGTCCAAAAATGAACGTCAGCAATGGAACAAGTTTTTCCTTTTTAGGAGGAGGAAGGTTAAGAAAAAGAAGTTAAAATAAGTGCTGAACATGGTACATCGGAGATAATTGTACATCCTGTAATGGAGACTTCAGATTTCAATTCCAAATACACAGGATTTCATTGCAACACTGCCTACACTTGTCAGGCAACGCATATTTACTAATGCACAGAAATAAATCTAGCACACCAACACCTGCATGACAGAAATAGCAGGTATTTTTCATTCATCTTTCTCTGTGCGAGGTAAGTTTTTTTTAAGGAGCTGATGAATGTTTGCAAAGCAGTCTCCCAAAGGGGAGTCAGCTTAAATTCAACTGCTAAAACTTGGATGTAATGCAATAATTTTCAAGTTTTGCCTGCAGGCCATACACATTCTTGTTACAGTCAGTGAGATTTTAATTTTAAAAAATTAACGCTGTTGCAACCTTGAACTTGCTGAGCTTCAGTGAGAAAGAATGAGAAACACTGCTCCAGTCAGTTATCCATCTATCAGACTAAGCAAAAGTAGCAGTGACAGACACTGCAAATGCACCACTCTCACTGAACCAGAAGCTACATTGCAGGCATTTTATTTACATGTCTCAAAAATATTCTCCTCTGCATTGAAGATGTATTATCATTTCCTCTCTTACCAGAATAGTTTAGATTGGTCCACTTAAAACAGGTATCAGACTTAGTTATTTCATGGTTCTTCTAATTCCTCTCAGTGATAAGAATTATTTGCATTTCTCTGTATCCTGAAGGAAGAAAGACTGACCTCCCGCTCACAGTTTCTTTCAGCCAGCACACATGCTATAGTCTCCCTCTGTTTTTTCCCCTCACGCTCCTAGCAGTAGCCTGATTGACTTTTCCTCTCTGTGTGCTCTGAAGCATTTCTGCTGCTTCTTGCCTCGGTCTCCTAATAAAAACCAAATTAAACTCAAAGGAAAAGTATTTACTCACATAACTCTAAACAAATAGTGAAATAGGTAAGTAATAACCATGGAAAAAATGAATATTCAAGGTTACTCATGAGTATGAATATCTTAAATGTAAGACAGTTCACCCTACTCCTAATCTCAATATAGAATTGCAAAGTTTAAAAATAATTAAAAATATCAGCATGTGACTACCTATGTAGCTTCTAAAAAAGAACACTTTAATCTCCAAAAAAAGGCAATTGCTAGCACCTAGACAACTCAGTGGCCATTATTTCAGCACAGCTGATAGGTAAAGGACAGTTGCCATTCCAAAGACCTTAAACTTAAAAGGCAATGAAAACTCTGCTGGCCTTGAGATGCAATTTCAGAGTATTCTCAATTACATACTAAAATAATGGAGTTCCCTGAAGGTGTATTTTCAGTTAAAACTGAAATAGAGGCATTATCCAATCTATCTGCATTTCAGAGGTAAAGTAAGAATTCCCACTGAAAAACTGTTGCACTCCATGAATATTAATTAAAAAAAAAAATTACTGTGCCTTATTCTACATTGCTTAAAGCACTCCCTTGGACTTGTAAAAATTATGCAGAAAGTCACTCAGACCATTAAGAGCAGGACTGAGGAAATTAAAACAAAAATTTGAAAGACTTATGCAGGTAACAGCTTATGACTAAACAAAATTCACAATCATTTTAATTTTGTTCTAAAAATATCATTTGTGCAGGGACAGTTCCTAAAAAGACAATGTATTGAAAAGTTGCAAAACCTTTTGCAAAGTGAGAAGTCCAAACTAACAATGTTTCCAATAATACATGAAGCCTAAATAAAAGAAATACTTTTTCAAAAGTGCATTTTTTCCTGTCTCCCCATTTTTTTTTTCTTTAATCTGTGAAATGTTAGCAGTGGGTTTAATTTTGAATTCTATAACCACCTCAATGAAGGAAAAAGCAGTATCCCCTTGTGCTGCATAACAGCACATAAAATGAAAATAATTTTGTAAGTAGTTAATGGTATGAAACAAAAAAAACCCAACGTCAAATGGTTTAGAATGGAAAGGGAAAAATCTATTCTTACAGTGCGTACCAGTCACACCAGAAATGTAAATATACTTATGTGATTTTGGTGGTAGATTCAAAGCAGGTTTCCATAATGAACTTTAAGAGTTATCTATTCTCAGACTTCCTTCGTACCTTTTTGTAGAATAAACTGTAAAATGAAGACCTTACCCTGACAAAGGCTTCATGCCACAGCTCTGGTACAAATTTTTACTAATATTACTACTAAAGATAAGTATTTTATTTTCCATGCTTAAATCTGTCTAGAAATATGTATCTTGCAAGCACCTTTGCCATTAGCTATCCAAAAAGTATGCCATTGTGTACACACAAACACACAGTACGACAGCTTTAAAACTTACTCTGTTCCTTACTTAGGATGGATAAATACTGAGTCCTGTATTCGGTCTTTAAAATCTTTTAATGGTAAAATTATTTTTATTTCAGTTAGGAGTAGAACTGTCTCAATAGCAATTTCAGCCCCAAGGGGGCAAAGTAACTAAACCTTGGTGTACAAAAGGGCATTATTTCAAAGGACATAATCTGTGAGTCACGATGGTTATATAAATAAGACACTGTAATAAAGTTTCTTGTGCTAAAAAGACTTCTTTGTACTAGAATACACTAAAGAAGGAAGTAGTTGATATGCATCCTAGCTCAACACGCACAGATTACAATTCAAATATTTAGTTTAATGTAATTTTCACTCTAATTCTGACAGTGTGTTACTGCTTATCCATAGCAAAGACACTGTTAAGGTAGACCACTCAACACGCAATTTTCTTAAGCATCATCAACTATGAAACCAGACATCCACATTGCTGCTACAATGTCAGTTAGTTTTAAAGTTTGTCTCCCAGAAAGATTATAACAGGAATTAAAATCTTACTTGACTTCACAGGAATGGATGCTTAACTCTTTGTGTAAGAGTCCACTTGTAAGATGAAACACCAGGACAGAACCATTACTTGTACCTATAAAGAGTCATTCAAAAAAAATACACACTCATTTTATTCTTCTTTTCCATACTTTAGTACTTTACTGCTACTTCTCTCTTCCAACCCCCCCCCTTTTTTTTTTTAACACCTGTAACTTATATTTTTAGAAAAGGTATTTTGATTTCTAGTGCTTAAATCCCAAATATTAAACCCTCCAAGGTTCTCTGCAGCCACTGAAATCCATTTGGAACAAGATATTTTCCTGAACCCACTTGTAGGGCCTGTAGAAAGGAAATGTTTCTTTTTATTTTGATTACTCAAGATGAGTAAATGCCTCAAAGAAGAATATTAACTGTTTTCCATCAATAATCCCAAGGGAGAATTATGAGTAGATTTTACTGAATCATTAAAGCTTTCTCATCCCTGAAATAATGACCTCTTTCAAACTACAAATCAATAACTTAGTAGCTATTAGCTTCAATTAGATCAAATACCTTCTGAAACACTGAAAGTTACAATTTTTTATTAGACCCTAGGAAGACTTACTTTTCCTTCTCTTTTTTCTTTATATTCATAATCAACTTTATTAAATACAACAATGCACATCTAAAGAGCCATTCAGGTACCTTAAGTGCAGAATGCTGCAGACCTTGCTGTAAATGCACTTTATACCTACCTATTAGTTTCCTAATCTTTATATTTCACCTGTTTTAACAGATACAGCTTATGTAAAATCTATAGCACACGCAACCTTAAGAATAACAAAAATCTCCCAAGTCTGACTTGTGACACACAGTCTTGACAGGGCAGTCCAGAATCAATTGATATCTTAGATATACCAAGAGCATATTTGAATAACTCAAATCCTGAGGTCTAATTTTATAACCTACTACAATCTCTAAATTACAGCATCTCTGTGCCTACTGTTCCAGTCCAATCACTGCAAAGACAGCAGCCTGTATGGATACACTGTGAAATTCCTGATGCGGTATGAAAGAGCATGCCAGAAAAAACACATTTAAATAGGGAGAACTTGGAGGTAATAAATCAGGAGCTCACCGGCAACTATTGTAGTATCTAGATGAGCTTAAACACCTTTCTCATAAGACAGAAAAAAATTTATTCAGGAAAAATAATGTGCTTGAAGTATATTTTTTAGGTACTTATATCAGGACAAAAGTCCAGTCTCAATGTTAAGGTAATTTAGTTATTCTAGGAATGCAGTGCTGCAGAAGTCCATACTTATTGATGTTTAGAATGAAGTTAGAGCAGCATGTAAAACACTGAATGTATCAATGGACCAATATCACAGTAAATTAAAGGATAAATACAAGCTTCCTAATATGTACCTAAAAGCAATTTTTGAGGTAGCATTACTTAATCCAAGGCAGGAAGAAAAAGAATCCAAAGACTATCGTGGTTGCTAACTAATACAAGGGTCACTATCTGTGATTAGTTACACGGGACAAAAAAATTGATTTTTTTTTCCTGTATTAGCAACTATATTGGTATTTATTATAGAATATATTCTTTTCAGAGCAACGAATAAACGATTCAAGACACTTACCAACAGCAAGGATTGGCTCATATTGTTTAATATTTTTTGTCGTCAGCGGTGGGCACATGCGGATAGCAAATGGAGGCAAAGGAAGTCCTGAAAGAAGTCCAGTCAGCAGAAATTTGAGGTGCACTTCTTGCAGAAAAGAACTTTTTAACTGTTCTTCTCCAGCAATTGTGCCTTGCCCTGCTTAAACATGAAAGCTCTTGTTAGTATTCAATTTTAATCAGAAACGTTATGGAAAGTTATCAGGCACTGCAGTGCACTTCTGTTAATTTCTCCAGTAATAACTTTCTTTCCTAACACTAATGAGGGGGGAGGGGAGTGAGGAGAAAGGAAGGAAGAGGAAAAAAAAGTGAAGTGCAACCATTTCAGTCTTCTTCCAGAATTCAAGGGTAGCTTTTACTTATTTTTTTCTCCTTTTTTTTTTTTTTTTTTAAAAGTTAGTTACAAATATTTTAAAATTACTAGACCAACTGAAAGACTTATGGAGGTATATATAACCCTAAACAGTAAAAACTGAGTGCAATCTACCACTAAAAATACAGTGGATTTGCTCAGATACAACAATAAAGATGGGCAGAAAAAAAGATGTGATTCCACCACTGTATACTTTCTGCAGGCAGCCGTACCGGTCTGAGTGATGTAAGGCAAAAATTAACAATAGCTATGATGTCAGTAACTACAGGAAATGCAGATAAGAGAACAAATCATGCCCTAAAGGTCATATTTAAACACATGAGGTAAAGAGCAAAAGAACCTCCCGCAGTGGTAAGCTGCCTGCACCAGCTAATACAGACAACTTTTGGTAAAAGGAAATCCAAAATCTGCACCCTTGCATCTCTGAGCAGCACTAGTCACTTTTCCAAGAAAAATTAGTTTTAAAACATAAAGATAACCATCTTTATGTAACATTTCTCAGTACTTAAGTGTTGGTTGCTATCTAGATTTCACAAAGATGAGATGCGTCAGATAAATTGTCTTCATCCATTTAAGATTACTTCTAAGAAATGAAGGAGTTTTGGCCAAATTCCATTTAAATATTTTTTTTTTCCTCAGAGAAAATGAAGTTTAAACATTGGTCCTCAACATAAAATCCTCAAAAAGATTAATTTACTAATTTCTTTAGCAAATAGGAATTCTTTTCTTTCAGAATTACTATTTAAAATGTATAGAAAATAATTCTAACATATGTAGTTCCTAAGTAAGCTAAGATGTACAATGACTCAAAAAAACCTAAAAATGAGTAGCAGTAGTATTATGAATAAAATTCTTACCTATCATGTTGTCTAATGAGAGGTCTGGAAGTTTATTTTGGAACGCTCCTACAGGAATTCCACAGAATGAGACTGGGGAATACAAAGGTGATGCACTTGAGCTGCTGTAAAAGAAATGAAAACAAGTTCCTAATACAAACCATATTGCCTTTTGACTTAGGTCCTCGATTTTCTTTTTTCCACAGGTTGTTCTTTCAGTATTCCTACCACTTATTACTTGCACAATATTTTGAGAAGATTATTCCCAACATCAACTTCCATGAAAAACTGTACCAGGAGATAATGCACACAAAAACGTACAAAATTTAAAATAACTTTCATCTTCCTTAAAGAGATATTTGTAAGTAAGAGAAAAACAGACAGATGCATCCCTTGCTTGGAAGTGTACCTACACACTGAATGGAAGCTTTTCAATGTACAGCTATGTTAATGAATACAGCTAAGGAACGATCATAAATATTTTAACATTTAAGAACAGATTCCCAAACTTGGGGAACCTTTTTCATTAACCTATATAAACATCTTGTATAGGTTCCAGAACACGAAACCCGTAACTGAAGCAATGCCTTTACCCAAACATACAGAACACAATTGCCTTTGCATATACAAAGCTGCAACAGAAACTTAGGCCATTATCTATATTTACACTCTTGTGTGACATCTATGCATCTAGCAGGGACTCAAACAGCCCCTGCAGCCTTGTCAATCATATCTTGGTGGGCTGAGGACAGGTCTCTGTCATAAGCAAAGACCAAAGGCTACTGCCTGCATCCAGCTGCACGCAAAAATCCAGTTTAAGGCATGTACAAAGCCTTTTTCTTTAAAATCTCACTTTAACAGACTTTGAGTTCAAATTTTAATTAAGACAATCAAATCCAGCAGGATCAAGAGCTAATGGAGGAAGACTCCTTCAAAATCCATTAAAGACTTTGTGCCAACTAGAAATATGCTTTACTTTTCAGAACAATCCAACTATATTCAGAATCCTCTAGGCTCAGTGATTTTTATATTTTTATTACATTTTTCCTAGTTATATAATCAGGACAAAAATCAGTGTTTTAGAAATGAGCCTAAGAATCCAAGAAGTAAACCCCAGCAACACAGGGATCCTTAACAGCTCTCTTGAGTATGCATCACAAAGAATCCATCTAACAGTATTTTTGAGAACATCAAGAATAAAAACATTAAATCACTGATAAGCAACAAAAAGATCTATGCTGAAAATCTGGTATTTCTGACATTTAAAAGTCTACTAAGAATTCTGTACTTCTTTTACGGCAGTAAGTTATTTATTTTATCAATAGTACATTTAAGATTTATTTCAGCAGAATGACCATAATACACTGAACGTTCAAAGAACTATACTACTTCATGTAGTATTTTTAGAGACTGCTCAAAATCTAAAACAGCAAAGGCCTTGTATATAAAAATATTGTTTATAACACCATATACAATCCACCTACTACGCAGCCTCATACTGTTCTGTGTCAAATTCACCTAAACCTATCAGAAAACCTTCCCCCTACTTAAAACATATTCCTTCCATTCCTGCAGGAAATTATATGTGAAGAAAGCCAAATTAGAAGAAAACATTACTACAAAATAACGTGACTATTCATTCCTATCTTTCGTTTCCTTATTCTAGCCCCTTAGCGTGGAATTATTTTTTAAAGAAAGAAGAGTAAATACCGATCCTTCACTTCCCCAAAGCAAGGGAACTAATCTATTTGGGTGATATATTTTGTTCCTCTTCCTTTCATTCATACCAATGTATAGCACATGCCACACTACCATATACACAAGGACATCACTTTTAGAATATAATTAAATACTACATGCCACTTGTAAATGTAACAGATGGAAGCTTTGATAAGAAAAATAAATCCCATTACCTGTTACGCACACTTCTGCCAGAAATACTGGATTTTAATTCCCAGATCATTACCCTGCCATCACTGACTATGAGAGCTGCAGAATTCTCATTCACTGGGCAACAGACCATACTGAAGGGTCGAACTGTTTTTGTGACCCTGATTGCATCGCACTGACTTCTTAAATCATAAATCAGCTCCTGAACTGGGTCTGGATCTGTAACATCAATGTCCCACACAGGACAAACAATTAGAATGGAAAACATACGATATGATCAATCAACAGAGGTAAATGTACAGAATGACTGAGCTCTTTGGTTGAAATCCACATACTTCCTGTGCAACAATTACGAAAAATAATCAAAACCAATATATTGTTGATCTTGCTGTATACAATACAGCTTGGAAAAGTTCTCCAAAATGTAACTTTGTCTTTAAAATATCTTATTCCACATGAATCTTGCAAAATCTAAAAAATTACTGTTGCATATCTGGGCAGAAAGTGCATCTGCTCTCCACAATCTAAAACTTGCTTGGTTTATTGGTAAACTTGGAAGCAAGTAATATAGCTCACTAGAAATTACCAAACTGCCAAAACCAAAACAACCAAAACAAACTAACAAAAAATACCCCAACTTATTTACATTTACAGAACTGTGTTTTCCCTTCTTTTTTCCAGTCTCCTTCATTATATTTAAAAGACCATTCTTAGTAACATTTCAAAAGAGAGACAAAGGTTTAATAATTTAGATTTTAATCTAAATTTAAGCCCATGCCTTCGTTCTAAAATCAATTCTTCCAATTAACCAAATGACTTCCAAAACCTTGTGCTTGCCTGCAAAAGATGTTTTTTCTTAAAGATAAAAAAAAACAAACAAATCGTCTTTTATCTAAAACTTTCCTGTATATGTGACTGTTAAGTCACTTCATAATTTAAGTATTATTTAGTGATAAAAGAATTATCAGGATATTAATATCTTTTTTTTTTCCACTAAATTTCAGGGAAGTAAAAAAAAAATTTGGGGAGAATGCAGCATAAATTTAAATTTAATGTATTAAAAAAACCCTAGAAGTGCTGTCATTCACCACCCTGTATGAGGCATGATAGTTAATATTGATGTTAAAGTATTAATTAATATGCCTCAAAGTTCATTTCTGGACATTTTGACACAAAACTTACCTGGCTCTTCATTTGGAGTTCCAGTTATACTGCAGTTAGATCTTCGAACTCTTAAAGTTATACAACCATTCTCATGTAGGCAAAATAACCCATCACGCTGAAAACAAGGAATGACCTAGGTAAAGAGATACCACATTGTATCGGGTTATCAAAATGTTATCCTTTGCAAAGCACACTTGCAAATAAACACACAATTTCTGATGTATAAACAAGTCGCTACCAATAATGCAACACTTCAATGAATTTCTTTACCTACAGTACTTGTGAATAAGGAAGTCAATTTGAGAAATTCATTGAAAGCTTTTGTTTGAATTGTTTGCTGATTTGGGGTGGGTTTTTTTAAACATTGATTTACTCTCTATATTCTTTTTAGCTGGTTGTTTTTTTAAAAAAAGTGATGAACAACTTTCTTTTTTGGTATCAGAATTCAGGATTCAAGAGAATAAAGATGCTTCACTAAGACCTCAGGCTCGACTTCGCCGTCTAATTAAGCAAAGGCAGATGCTCAGAGAACCAGCATTAACTTGTGTGTAAGCAGCTTAACCACGAGAGAAAATAAAAGGTCCTTTTTACATAGCACTGTTTCCACACTGGTAACTTTTGTACCACCACAAAATGAAGTGGGTTTGCTGCAGAGCTCAGAAAACTAAATTAAACAATGCTTGGTTCAGAGGACATTTTCCCCCCCTGGTGAGCTAACTTCTTTTCATCCTCTAAAACTAATTAAAACACAACTGTCAGTGGGTCATGAACTTACATATGATCTTAATAAACTATTACAATGATAGAAACCAATCAAATTTTCATTACCTGCAGGAAAGGCACACCTGTTCTTTCAATTGCAATCACACCCACTGTCTGATTCACTTCCAAGTCAAGAATCAAAATTTCTCTGGGATACAATAACAGCATGTAGTTTCTTTTGGAAGGCAAATACGACAACTGAAGACAGTCGTTGAGTGTTACAGATTCAGCACTGCAAAACATCAGATATAAACTTTAATCAAGTTCAGTATCAACAAATACTTCAACTTCAAAATAAAATTAACACTACCAATTTTCCTGCAGCTGCGTTTTTTCAAGTATTCCCTGTTTTCATCGCTAGGGAAATGTAGATTTTGATTTAATTGCTACAGCAGTGCAAAGCATCACTGACCTTTAAAAGACATACAGTCTGTTGACTTTTGTCTAAATAAGATTATAGAGTAATTTTTAAAATAATATGTAATTCAAATGGAACAAGTGTAATTCTTGCACATCTCAAATACAAAGCAATTCAATTATGAACAGTGCTAGCTGCCATGACATTTACTGGTATTCATGGGAAATTACCCTTAAACATACTGCTTACTTCAATTTTTTATATAATTATGCATATTACTTTATTTTGAAATGAACAGAACTAGCCTATCAAGAATACCAGTCTTCAAGCTCAAAGAATGTAGCAAAGAGCAAATGTTCATCATTTTGTTGATTGTTAACAGGAGACTGGCTGCAACGTGAAGAGGTTCATTAGGTACATGCAATCTCATGAATTATATTTAAATCACATTGAAGAAAATCATCTTCATAGTGCACACAGGTTGGAAGGTTTCTGAACTGATTTAATATATCATCCCTTTGAGGGGTTTGGTTTGGATTTAATCTCCTCATTCGACCACACTAAACCCTCCTTAAACTATTGTTGCATCTCATTCCTTGCTTCAGGAATATAATTCACCTTTTCTCTGCCATCACTTCCCTGACAATCTCCTGCTCCTCTTTCCCCGAAGTTTCCCTAAACTAATATAGAACCAGATAAATCATTGCTGCTACAATTTTTTCTTCCCCTTTTCCCATTCCATTCTTTTCAAGCATTCTGAATGGAAAAGGAGGGAGAAAAGAGAAGACTATCATACCCTTGGCAATATTTATATACAATTTAAAATGCAATCAGGAGAATGCAGAAAAATCGTATCTTTGCCCATCGGCTGTTATTTCAGAGTACAGATAAGGCTGCAGAAGCATATGTACTATCTCAGTATTTGCCAATCAGGCATTCTGTCCAATGCAGCACAAATTAGACATTATAGAACACAAAATGATGAGATCATGCCCTTTAACTTCATACAAAAATCACAATTTCTTAAATGATTACCAGAGGAAACATCATCTTCTCCCCCGTTTGCAATTTAAACACCTTATTAAAACAGAGTATAAACTTTATATTTGAACTACATTTTGGTGTCAAGTGCTAACTGTTAATACAGTCAGTTTGTTCTTAAATTCTCTAGACGCTTGAGAAGTACTTTTATTACTCAAACAGAAAGTACGAAAAGAAAAAAAGAATTACACTACACAAAAGTGGTCTGGAGAATTTCTAACAAAAAAAAATCTCAAAATGTAACAACTTTAGTTTTAAAAGCTCAGAAAATAGACAAATGTATAAATTCTAATTTTATTTATACACTATTAACTTAAAAAAAGCCTCCTACTGCAGTATCATGTACAACATCAGAATGACAATTCTTCTCAGCTATCAGTACTTAAAGAATTTTTATTCTCTTATTCTATCTCTTCTCATTCCACAATTGAAAGTAATTACGTTAGCTCATTTTCATCTTCCCCCCACCCTCCCTATCCCCCAAAAGATGTTTCTGAATTTACACCTGCATGAAAAAATGTCAGTGAAGGGAAAATGATATGTCATTAACTTACGTAAAACATGCTGGGGTGATATGGCTGTTTTTATGAACAGAACTGAATGAAGGACTGCCAATATTATATCCTCACATAATGTCCTCGTATAGGATATCCACCCATCTGCCTACCCCAATGAATTTTCTTTTTTAAAACTAATTATCTTATAAACTTTAATTATATCTATAAAATATACAGGTATACAAAACATTATCTGAGAAAAAATATTTGCAACCTACCTTGGTTTTTCATTACTGATTAAGATTTTTACTTTATCAAGGGCCTTTTTGGCCCCCGTAGCAGCAGCCAGCTTGTTGTGAGAAGGACTGGAATGGGGACTAGAGATGTAAACTTTCTTCCCTGAGCTGGCAGGAGCTTTGGAAGGAGAGAAGTCAGAGATGAACACTATTCCTTCACTGGTGAGCACTGTACCAAGAAAAACAATTGTTATTATAGCAAAATACAACGTGCAACTTGATTGTGGTGTTGCATGTTAATGAAATTTTAATGGGGAGAACTACTAATAATTTTAATAATACTGTATTATGTAGAAAACTCAAAATTCTAGACAACAGACACCATCTACTGAAAGAGCTGCATATGGTCTGTAACAATTAATTATATTCACAAAACTCAATTTTTCAAAATTAAGTCCACACTAAAAAAATACCGTAGGGATTACTGGCAGAAACCTCTTGTTTCTTCAGTACAGTTATTATCTCTCATCAACAATTTTTCTTTAAGCTTCACAATCTAAATAGAAGGCAGGGTTGACCACATTGGCTATTTCACCATTTTTTATTCTTGTGCACAGCATGGCTCAAAGAATCATTAACTCACATTATTTATGTTGTAGCATAAAGATTCAGCTAAGCTATAAAGATGTAGCTAAGATTTTACTACATGTTTATACCAAAAAAAGTTCTCTTTTTAGGTTGAATGGTATGGCAGATTAAAAAAAAAAAAAAAAAAGGCAACTACAAATCCTGGAAACTGCACTGTCTCATTATAGATCAGGAGTGATCAAGCTAAATTTAAAAAAAATGAAATGGTGACTTTCTTATTTCTCTTAAGTTTCTTTCTGCTAAAACATCAATAAATCTGCACTACACCCCCCCCCCTTCACATTTGAATTGCTTCTGAAATTGATGCTCACACTCTATTCCTTTAAAAAAAATCCACTCTGTTGAAATTACCATTTATTCTTGGTCTACTCGTCTCACTGGATTCTCCCTCAGCATCCATCCTTTTATAGCTTTCTATGTCAGTTTAACAGGGCGCTCTATACTTGGCTTCCTCCAGCTCCCTATCTATACACTTTCCACCTTCTTTAGAAAAAGTCTCAAACATTTATTTTCAGATCTCTAACTTCTCTACTCAGGCCTACTTTTCCCCTCCCCTCACACAATGGCATTTTATTTTAGAAGACTCCACATTGGCCAAAGATTCCCCTGTCTTTGTTTTGAGACGACTTCTTGGCATTACTGACATTATTCTCTCCAATCCATTACTTTAATCTCAATATTAACATTTTAGCTCAACATTTTTCCTGGTCACACATATTCACGTCACAATTACACAAACTTACAAGCTAAGTGTGATGGATCAAAGGGGTCAAATGAAAAAGACAGAATATTTTCAGCATAACTCTTCTTCCAAAGTTTGGTGCCCGTGTCTGCATTCCACAGTACGATATAGTTAGGTGGATGAACAGCAAGCAGTAAATCTCTAGAAGCATCTTGATTCCACAACCACTGCATGTCTGTCAAAAGAAAGAAGGAACAACAGTGAAATTAATTTTCAAACAAAGTTTGTTCTATTTTAAAACTATTTTTCTTCTGTAATATCTCATCTTTAAAGAAACGATTAGTGACTTGTTAGGAACAAGATGTTTCTCTTTCAAAATTCTAAAAAATAAGTTCCTTTTACGGCCTGAATTTATGTTTTTAACAAGCAGCAATACACTGGGTTACACATGTCCATACACATGCTCACAACCCACATGTGATCTGAAGAAGTCAGATCTTTTCATACAGTGAATTCCTACCTGAAACAACATACTGTATCGTAGAGAACTACTGCAGAGTCAAAGTGAAAAGAAACATATAACACACACAATCTCAAATGAATATCTGAGATGGTAGCAGTATTGGACCTGGAAACAAATGTCTTCTCCACTTCAAATACTTTTTAACAAAGAGTCTTCAGAGTAAAATGAAATCGAGTGTACACACAATCAAGAATACAAGTACAATGCTTAACAGCTAGGCTCCAGTCTGAAGAGGTATGGTTGCCAATCATCATGGCTGGGCAACATTTAAACATTCAAGATAAAGGGACATAAAAGACTATGTTTTCTGTCAATAGGAACAGGGAGCCACCTCAGTTACCTGAAAGGAGCTGTATTACAGCTATCTACATGCTGCATGGGGCAGCATTAGACAACAGAACCGGTCAGGCAGGCAGTGGATAAAATCCCCACCCAGGGGATTTGTTTTACCACTCATTGCATGGCCTCACAAAGCCACAGCTTCTCTACAGCATGTTCATATATATTAAGATGTTGAAAAAAACTTCCTTCCTCAGCTATTCTTCTGTTTTATCAATTCAGCTTTTTCAGAGCTGATAAGTGCTTCTCACTGGGTTTCAGAGAAAAAAAAGCCACAATCCAGCCATGTGTCTCTTAATCAGTTACACTATAAGTTAACAAACGGTTAACTCCTTCCCAGATGAACGCACAGTTTGGATGAAATAAAGAAGAGTGCCTTGCACTGAAGCACCACTTTTCTCCTTATTGAAATAGTGATGTTTCAGCCCTTACCCTAGAAAGCTCTTGCAGATAACACTCAGAGAACCAGCAGATCACTCCAATCCTCAATCTCTGTATTTGCACTATTTTCTACAGGCTTGTAAAAAACAGCCAGAGGCCTCAGAAACAGATGGAAAGGAAAAGAAGCTGCTTTTGTTAGAGGTTATTGCTGAATGAAATCAGGGACTGAGAACAGAACAGAATTTTAATTAAACCCAGCAGATTGGAAAGCCTTCATTGGGTCTGAAAATGTGGAGAAATCTTCAAGTGGCATGGTCAAAACTCCACCAAACATTCAGTGAATTGCTGTCAGCAGTAAATAAAACGCAACTTGTAACACACACACAAAAAGGCAACAAAACTAATACGATTAACTGCAGTCAATAGAATAAATTTTGGTGTCCCACTATCAGACTTACAATATCGTAGCTACTTTCACAGGATATATAAAAACAGAATAATAATGAAAAACAAACAACCTAATTTCCGTAAGTGGGCTTTCATATAATAGAATACAAAATAACAAGCAGGTATAACACAAGCATCATCACAAGTTTTCAAAATAGTCCAAATAAACTATAAATTATTCTTAGAAAGTCATTATGGTTTCGGGAAGGGGGGCAAGGAGGGGAAGTGGTCTAAATTTTACCTCAGAAGTAATTTGTAGACATATTGCTACATGGACAGCAGTAGCAATAAACAGAAATCCATAACATGCATCAGAACATGCAGATGCTGCTGTACGTGCAGAGTTATCCCTCCCAGGAAATTCTGAAAGAGCCAGTCCGGTGCTGGAAGCAGTCCACTGGCAGCACCAGCTCAGGTACAAAGCTAACCAGAGCCCATTGCTCCAGCCAGCTCCTGGTCAGCTCTCTTAGGAGTGGTTCCAACAGACAGAAAAGTGCCCACCACAAGTAATTAGAACTAAAAAAACCTAGTTTTACAATAGTAGGAAAGTGCTACTATCGAGTACAAACTGCACCAATTAAAGCAATAGTAAAAATGATATTGAGTGTGTGATGCAACAAGGAGTGAAAACCAGATCTTTTGATTCTCTTTTCTGAGTTCTAACCATTACCTTTTTCACTGATGAAGTATAAGATGCTACCTAATGAAAGGGAGCATTTGATGGATGACATCTTACTAATAGATGAGCACAAAAAAAAGCAAGGAAAAAGACAATTAGTCATTTCCAATTTAGTCTCTTAATTGTGTTATACCTGGCCAGGTATATATTTTCTGTTCTCTACCCTTCATCAGACCAATTAAGATAGTACTGACCTCTGTGCCAGGCTTCTAGATGTTTCTGCCTCTAGCACAAGAAAACAGAAATCTTCTGTAGCTTACAACATCAAAATGCATGGCTCCTTTCTCCAGACTTTTTTGTTTGTTTGGGTTTTTTGGTGGGATTTTGGTTGGTTGGTTGGGTGGGGTTTGCTTTTGTTTTTTACTTCCCGCAGAGACTTGTGAAATCCCTGAATAAGATAATAATTTTTTTTTTTCTGGTAGTGGGCACAAACTGGAACACAGGAAGTTCCATCTCAACACGAGGGAAAACTTCTTCACTCTGAGGGTGACTGAGCACTGGAACAGGCTGCCCAGCGAGATTGTGGAGACTCCTTCTCTGCAGAGATTCAAAACCCACCTGGACGTGATGCTGTGCAACCTGCTCTAGGTGATCCTGCTTTAGCAGAGGAGTTGGACTAGATGATCTCCAGAGGTCCCTTCCAACCCCTGCTGTTCTGTGACTCTGTGATGAAGAAACTTCAAACATCTGGCCGCCCAGAACTGTTTGGGTAGAGTTTACTGGGCATTTTTGAGACCTTCCCAGCTGCACTGGGCTACCACCCACAGAACTGAATCAAAAGCAGCAAACACCACTGCCAAACTGTCTTCTCAAATCACAGCCACAACCAGTTATTCATACCATCTCAAAATTTCCTCTTTCTCTTGACTGTTTGCGTTAATCCTTACTATTTATGTCCACTTAATTATACTTGAAACCTAATTCAAACGTGGCACACTCAGTTTCAAGACTTCCTACCGCTAACTCCAACTATATTATTAAACCTACCTTATTTACAACTGTCTTCTATGCTAAAATTTACAGTCACTTTTCACATCTTAATATTGCTATGCATAGAAAAGCCTCCCTGCTCCTATGAATAAGACAACTGCACAGATGCTCAAAAAACCTTCTCTCTCTAGCTACATTGCAAATGTATGTTATCGTGCTAGTATATCTGATCAGAAGCAGCTATATAATGTACTAACTAAATAATCCTCAAAGTATACGTGCACAATCAAAACTCTTAACTTACAGCAATGTAATACTGTTAAAGTACTGCACCACTACAGATGACATTAACATTCAGGTGCAATGCAAACTGTACTACATCCTCAGTTCAAAAGCTGGAAGATATCCTTGGCACTGTAAATATTATTTTTTTCAGTCAATAACATTAATAAAAATAGATTGTAACTTTTTGTCAGAAGACCTTGGAAAGTATTACCCTAATGACTTAAATCTCACAGCATCCCTCTGGGAGACAGCAAGTCTTACGTTTACACAGAAAATGAGTAAACAAACAGAGAAAGCTAGTAATCCCAACAGTAAAATTCAACGACAGAGCTGAGTATGGTTTGCAAAACCTAGCTGATGGATTTGTAATGACATTCCATAAGGTAACTTCCATACAAACATCATGCACTACCATTACCTTGAATTGGTTTTGTATGTTCTTGTATTTCACAACGAGCTGTTCCTGTTGCCACATCCCATACAATTATTTTTCCAGTAACATCAGCAGAAGCTAAACGTAGAGAATATGGAGAGCCAATATTGTGATGGTAATTTTCTTTAGCCCATTTAACCTGAAGATACAGATGAAAATTGGTCAAAGGAAGCAAATATACATATAACAAAAGACACTATACTTCACATTTTTTCAGATGGATAAACAAATAATTAATTCAACAAAAAAGTATAGTAATAGTTAACAGTTAATAGCATCTGTGTAAGCGTATGTTTAAGCTACCATCAGTTGTGCAAATTTAAGATATGTTGCAAATGTGGTGCATGACTGCATGGCTGATATTTTCAAATTACCTTCAGGAACAAGGATCATTGATTTATGTAACTACAACGATCCATAAATATGTGCTATATATAAAAAGCTTACTCAAATATTTAGAAGAAACTAAATGGCAATGTTCAAGGTTCTGTGGCATCTACTAACCTATACCTACTGATTTTCAAACAAACGAAAGTTGAAAATTTACCATCCAACGTTTATATACATGCTAAAACATGTCATTTTCCTAATCTGTCAAATGTATTATAGTACTGGGGAGGAAGGAAGGTTAGTCTTTCATCTATATGTTGTGTCATGTCAAGCTATTGCTGACATTTGCTATCTTTTTGGTCCTTTTCGACATGTTGCCACCACTGATTTCCACATACCACTTTCTGGTTTGGGATTTCAAACTGCATCAGCTTGCAAGCTGGCTATACTTATGAAAACTATGTGTCTTGAAAATTGAAACACTCTGTCTGCAAGTCCCCCAAGATTATAAGGCAATAATACTGACTCCTTCCTCATCTTTTCAATATGGATTTGTTTTGCTATCTGAACTTCTGCCCCTAAGAGAGACTGAAGACACTAACACACTCAAGAAACCTTAATGCTAAGCTAATGGAAGTTTACCTACTACAAAAATTATGCTGCAGCTAGCTAGCTGTGTGCTGTCACAGTACCTGACGGAGAAAGGGTGAGGCCAAACACAACACTTTTTGCAGATATTGAAAGCATGACATTAAAAAAATAGAAATAGAATTATCAGCAGGCACCGCTGAGTTTGCAACATGAATTAGATTTACAACAGCATTCAGAGTACTGTAGCCACCTTTGTGCTACCTCTTTCAGAGGTGTGACCAGAATGTAGCTCAAAAGCCTAGCTGAATAAATTAAACAAACATTACACATGCACAGCAAGCAATCTTCAAACACCTCTAGCTATAAACCCAAAGTGTCTTTCTGCCAGAATAACAAAGAATTCTTAGGAGAGCCTCCTCTACCTCCAAATTCCAGTTTTACAATTCCTGATTCCCTGCTGTTTCAAAAAACTACCCATGAGGAAACCTGCATGTAGGTATGTAGCTATTAAAAAAAAAAAAAAAAAGTAGTTATGGAAACCTACAAAGCTCTTTCTTCCTCAGTTAAATAGAAGCAAATTCCAAGTCTGGAAAACATCATTTCCCAAGGGAGCTGCTGTCACCAAGATATGAACAACAACAAGGAGACCTTTAATGCGATCAATCTCAACCTGAGCTCACACAGCGCTCTCACACCATAAGCCTTCTTTTCTCATCATAGTTGCACTGTTCCAACAAAGTCCCCACACATCCCCTCTGCTAAAAGAAATTATTTTCTTCCTATACTGGTCACTGCCTCTCTACTCTGACTTCAAAATACAGCAGCACTGGTCAGAAACAGGAACGAGAAGTGAAGGGCGTTTTTATTTTTCATAATCTAACTCACCTGATTGAAAGAACCTTACTATCACTGTTTATTAACATATCAGAACAGACACAAATGACATTTCAATCCTCGAGCAAAAAATTGTTCCTGTAATTACATTTTGTTTTCTAAAAATACTCTTTCAAGTACTCTTTGTAAAGGTACAAAGAAAATCAGACATAATCTACTCTGTACAAAGTTATCAGCACCCCACAAACACCATATGGAAATACTGAGAACTAACATGGATCCATTTTCACCGAAACCATTACCTATTCCAGACAGAGTTATGACAGCCAAAGGCCAGTAAGTATTTAAAGAAAAATAGTTAAACAGACTCCAGAAGGATTATGAAACAATTGCTTTTCTCTTTGCTTTTTTATTGCAGATAGTGGTGTGCTTTGAAATTTTTCAAATCTGAAGCACGGGGGCAAAGATCCCCTGTAGACTGAGTTTGCTGGTGTGAACCTCTGCAACAAAGAGTTTAAGTCAGGTATACACAGCAGACTTCTCACAGATCCCCTCTAGCTTATTTACGCTCTTAGTGTTTACAAACAAAAAAATAAATCAATTAGAAATTGAAAAAAATTTCTTACGAATGCACATAAAGGTATCTGCTATGATCATGGTGTCATAATAATTTTTCATATAATGCCTACTTCTTAAAGCAGAATAGAATTTCTCTTCATTTTTGCTCCTCGTAAATTAGTCATTTTCTTACAGTCTATTTCTGTTAATAAAGCACCAGCTGGTGGTTTTGAAAAGTTACCTTATAAATTATATAAAAACTATTTGGACTTCAGCATTTGGTTTCCTATTGAAATAACATTTCTTCTCAAAGCTAGTGACGGTAACTGAAGCACATTCAAATTCTATCATTATATGGATCAAAAACTAATTTTGCTACAACTCATTATCTAAGTGGAAGTTTTAAAGCAGAGTCATCATTATAGCTGCTACCTCCGTACCGCTTGCATTTTCTTTTTTTTTTTTTTTTTTTTTTTTTTTACACAATTATAGACATTGGAATTGATTTCTTAATTTTAAAGGGCAGCCTAAAGACAACTGAAGCTAAGGGTATGCTTAACTGAAGCTAAGGGTATGCTTATCCAAACAAGTTTCCAAAAGGCAAGCAAAGATATTGATTCACAGTGTCGCTTACTCTGCAGTTGCTGTCATGTACCCACCTTTGCTCTGAGATAATTGAGAAATAACCTCTCCTTACTAAAAGTCAGATAAGTTGCCTAACATTTATCACCAGAGAGACTATTCATAACAGCAGCACAAGCTCTAAATTGACAGCAACGTTTGGGCAACCCTGAGAATCCTCAAACTTCACTGAGAGATTTGGGCAAGTATACAAACATGCCGGAAGAAATCAGTTTTTGGTCCTTTGCAACATTTTAGCATTGTTTTTAAACACAGAAGTCTCAAAAAATGACATAAAGTATCTATTTTGAAACTGAACCCTTACACCTTCCTTTTTTTCCAGTCAGTTTCAAAATTCTCTCTAATCAAGCAAAACTAATTCCTAAACTTTACAACCATTTTAAAAGCTATAGTGTCATTATCTATATGGGTCTTGGCCAAGATCTTGTATGGATCTGTATCAGTTTTGCCCTACCCAATATTTTAACCCAGGGTTTGAACAGTTTGTTTATTCTGATGGAAAAAACGCACTTAATTGGACTCTGTAGCACAGGAATACATTGTACTATACAAAGATACAGAAACACCACCACCTGTGCAACTACAGACTATGCTGACATATCTAAACCACTCACCAAAAAATTGAAGTTCTTTCATGTGCAAAAGAGATCATCAAAATATGATGGCTCAGAAATCGGTAAATTATCAAACCCAAGACAAAATAATTGTGTTTAATTTTAAAATACCAGAGTGGCCACATCTGATATGCTATTACTGTATCTATATGAAGATGGTCTACTTAAAGAAAACTACACATGGGAAAAAATAGTGTGCAATTTCCAGAAGGCACATTCAAACTTTTTTTCTACCACCAAAAAAACCCCACAAAATCCCCCTAAAGTCTATTTTACTTCAAAAATTACTGACTGCCTTCCAACATAGCATTTCTCTAAACCCTGACTGAATCTGTCATTCTCCACAGTCAAAGAAATGATGTATCAAAGAAATACATCCTGTTCCACACTTGACCCAAAGTCAAACTCTCTGCAATTTCAAGTCAAGGACCTTCAAAGGAAAGTACAAGTATCCTACACTTAAGCTTAAATTTTAGCCCTTTTTTATGGCTAAAATAAATGTTCAGTTTTATCTGCTATTGTTCCTTTTCTATAGGTAAGAACAGAAGTAAAAACTTAAAAGCAACTTTCTGGTCGAATGGTGCACTGGTTACCCCCACAACAAGAAAGATCAGCTAGGGCATCAAAAAAGATATTTTGTAATGTTCGTTTGAAATTCTGTCATGTTAAGAGCTTTCTTAGAAACATTTTGTCTGTGTTCTATAACACTACTAAATGTTTTCATATATTCTATACTTTCCATAAAGGTATATCATCAACCTCAGGTCAAATTTCAGCACGCGTGGTTTGATATAGGTCTAAAAGAGATCATGTGAAATACAGGTATTTTATAACAGATTTTATGTAAAAATCAAATGCGATATAATGTCAAGTTCTTACAGTGATTTAAAAAATAATACATACACCAGAATCAAGTAATATACCTTAAAACATGTACATCTCACCTTGACAACACTAGCTTTGTGTCTTTCCAAAACCTGTAAAGTCTGAGCAGTATTGGCATCAACTATCAGCACAAGAGAATGGCATCCATATGCAATCAAACCTTGCCAGCCCCTAGAAAAGCATGTTACATTATCAAACAAGTGAGAAAGAACAAAAAGCACTTCACATCAAAAATGAGGCTTTTTTTTTTTAAGCTGAATGCGTCTACTAGACACAAACATCACCCTGTAAAAACTATTTAAAAACATAAAATTCAAAAGTGTTATAAAACGCCATTGTTGCACTGTCTGCTCAATTATTTGCTGATACAATCCTAAGCCATCGCAAAGCACCTCTCCGTGTTCATCTGTAAAAATCCTCTTCTCTAAATTTAAGACATCACATAGGAATTAATGAAGAGCATTCACAAATTTTATACATAAGTATGCAGGTAAGCAATATATTTGTACTTACATAATTAACTGCATCACTTTTTTTTTTTTGAGACAAAAAAAGCAGCATGTGAACAGTGATTACAGTAACAGTGGAAATCTGCTGAGGCCTGTCTGACTTCAGGAGAGATTAATGCTGCCACCAATGACAATTATGAAGCTATCTGTGAACACCAAGCAAGTGGGAACAGTCAAAGGAGAAAAACTAAGTTTCAAACTAAGAACTTCAGAGTACTTCAACGCTCACTGCTTTTCAAGCCGACAATCCTAAAGGCCACATTTTTAAAAAATGACTTGGTCCAGCTCATTCATTTTCTCTCCCTAAAATTCAGCAATATTAGGGTAATGCTTTACGGCACAGCTGTATTTGTTCAGAGCAATGAATACAAAAGCAAATATATGGCTTTGTACATCAAATCTCAAAAATAACAGAAACCAGAAGAAGCTGCTCTGATCTCTACAGTTCGTTGCACCAACAAGACCTCTGCTCAGAGAAGCAAACGTCACTGCCGAAGGGACTGGCCCACGCTCCTCTACGGCCATGGCTCTGTTCTTGCTTGAGAGCTGGACAGCAGCAGCAACACCGGGCTCCCTGCCTGCATCCCCAGCGAGGAAGGGAATGTCAGCAGCCTGCACAGCGTCTAGTAGAAGAGGGTTTTCCTTGGACACAGCACCACAGCATGCCCATTTCTAGTAATAAAAAAGGACCCCAGTATTTGCGGTGACCACCTCGGCCAAGACGGCAGGACGCGATTCCCTCGCAGGAGGGCACAGCCGGCTCCCCGCAGGGATCGCTACCACCGCTTTACTGCACGCCCGGCAGCTCCCGGCGCCGGCTGAGCCTCGGCACCCGGGGGTGTGACTGGATGAACGTCCCGTTAAAAGCGCGGGCTCCCCTAGCCGGGGGAA